CCCTGACCCACACCTCCACGTGCCAGGCTGGCCCCTCTTCCAGCCCCGGGTCCCTGCTTAGGCGAGACTTCCTCCGGGGGACCCTGCAAACCGACTGTGCATCTGGTGTTCGCCGGACCCGAGGCCCACGTCCCTCTGCTCAGCGTTCGGCGCAGTCCCTGGCACGTGGAAGATGCTCCCTGCGCTTTCTCAACGAGTTACCTGCTCAACACGCCTCCCTGCAACTGCAGTGGCCTGCGGGGCCAGCAGAGCAGGCTGGCCCGTCCGCTCGGGCCCCCTCGTGGCTCTGAGCGCAGAAGGCTGACGGCCACCAGGGCAGGGACACTGAACCGTCTTCCGCGCCGGCCCCAGCCGAGCACCGCAGCGTTCCACCCACAGTGGGGGCCCTGAGCGCCCCCCCACTTACAGACGTCGCCCTGCACACTGTCAGCAGAGCTGGCCAGGCGGCGGGCAGGGGGGCCAGGCCAAAGGGTGGCATGTGTTCTCACACCCGCGTGCGAGGGCTTCGTCGTGGCATTTAAGGTTACGTGTGGCAAGAACACCAAGGCCAACAGCAGGAGCAGCGGCCCCGTGCCTCCTAACTGGTCCCCGGTCCGCCCACGACAGGGCATGCAGGCCAGGCCAGGCCATGCCTCGGGCAGAATCCTCCGAAGGCCCCTAGCTCAGGAGAGACCGAGAGCCCCCCTCATCCTTGCCGCGACCACGAGCCCCGCCTCCAGGCCTTGCGCCCCATGACTGTCTCCCAGAGCCCGGCCCTCGGCAATGGTCACACGGCCCCCACGCTTCCCCCTCAGACACACACGAGCATCGCCCCCAAACCAGGGCCTCTGCACGTGCTCACCCCTCTGCCGGGACCACTCCTTCCCGGCCGTCCCCGAGGCCTATTCCCACACCTGCTGCAAGCCTTGCTCAGATGTCACCCGCTCTGGGAGGGCTCGCCCGGCCCTCATATCATTCTGAGACCTCCCGGCCCCCCAACCATCTGTCCCTCTGCCCTTCGTCTGGACTCCAGCCATCGCCCCTGGCAGTTAACGCGCTCCTTAACGCGTCACTCTCCACCTCCCCCATCCCACTGTGAGCACACAGGTTCTGCTCTCTTTTGTTCACGGAGGCATCTCTAGTACCTGGAACCGTGACTCGCACGTAATACGGGTTAAATAAATATTTGCTGAATCAGTAAGTTATCAGGCTCTCAGAACGGGTCCAAGAGGCCCCTCTCCTTCTCACCTAAGAGATCAGGGCTCGGCCCAGCAAATGTCCTCCTGGAGGTCACAGGCACTAAGGTCGAGTGCAGCTCCCAGGTCACACAGGAGGCCACAGGATGGCCCAGAGCAACAGGGCCAAGGTGAAGGTCACAGAGATGGCTGAAACCCGAACCACCCAGCTCCTAGTCAAACGTCTTCCCATCCTTCGTCCAGAAAAGAACCTTCTAAGGAACCACCAGCCAAACACACAACCTAAGGCCCAGAGCCTGCGCAGAAGAGGGGGATCTCCCAGCAAGACCAGCGCAGGCAGCATGAGACCTTGGCCAAATCACTGGTTCTCTCCAGGCTCATGTAGGAAACAGTTCGGATCAACCACCACTTAGCTGATTTTTGCAGTAACAATGCAAGGGTGAGTAAGGAACACTCCCAAAGCGTGCAGAGCCCCCTGGCTGGTGGAGAAACCAAGCCCTTCCAGCAACACTGAGTGTGATGCCGAAGGGGCGCTTCAGTCCAGACCGCGTGAGACAGGCAGGCTTCACCGGGAGGCACACGGCAGCGAGTGTTTTAAATTCTTAAACAGAAAGCCGGGCAGGAGAGGGAAGGGAGGAAAGGAACATTCTGGTCAGTTACAAAAGCACGAAGCTGACAGAGGCATCACACAGCAGGTACAGCAAGGAACCCACAGGCCCCGCAGCACCACTGGGGGCAAAGCTCAGAGCAGGGAGGGGCGGGAGACGCGGCTGATGAATTGAGCCGGCTCAGGTCATAAAGGGCCTTACACGTCCTGCAAAAACACCGAGGCTTCTCTGCACGGCATTTCCGGGAACACCACCACGCCTACCTCTGCGAGGCCCAGAGTGTGCTTGGAGGACAGAGTGCGTTTTATAAACTCTAAAACACCAGAGAGGGACTTCTCTGGCAGTCCAGTGGTCAAGTCTCCACCTTCCAACACAGGGGATGTGGGCTCGACCCCTGGTCGGAGAACTAAGATCCCACATGCCTCTCGGCCAAAAAACATAAAACAGGAGCAACACTGTAACAAATTCAACAAAGACTTTTAAAAATGGAATAAACCGCCAGGGAGACAAACACGTGCAGAGTGCTAGGAAGAGAGCCTGGCAAACGGTGACCGCAAGATGAATATCAGCCACTACTGTCAAGGAATTGTTCATTATAAAGGGCTGTGCCATACAAAGAGCCTTTAACAGTTCTTTAACAGTGTGGGTGTATTCTTCCACCTTCGGGTTTCTCTGGGTTGGGGACCACACTCAAGAAAAAGCTAATTACAGGACCCACTCACAAAAGCTGACACAGCAGCTGGAATCGGCAAGGATCTGACCGCGCGGCTCTTGTGCAGGTAAAGCAGGTGCTCGGCCAGCGATCCCCAAGGGAAGGCTTTGGGGATCCTCCCTACATCCTCCCTACATCTGCTGACGCGGAACGGGCACACCTCTGCAGCTCCTCCCGGCACCCGAAACGGCAGCACCGCCAGAGGCGAGGCCACAGGAGGCAAGGGGCCCGCGGCAGCCGTGCACGCCTTTCCTCATGGGCCAGCCTCTCCTCCCAGCCCTGCCCTCCGCAGCAACGGCCGCAGCGGGTCACAGACCCCACTCCGAGTCTGGAACGATCTCAGGGAGCTGTTCTCAACAGTGCCCCGGCACAGCACAGACTCAAAACCCCAGGAACAGGCGGACCTGTCTCTGGTGATGCAGGATTTCACAGAAGAAAATTGAGGACAGCATCAAGTTCCCGTGGCTGCCACAAGCAAGTACCACAAGCCTACTGGCTGGAGACAACAGAAACTTATCCTGTCCCAGCGCTGGAGGCTAGAAGTCCAAAGTCAAGGCCCCGGCCTCTCCCAAGGCTCTGGGAAAGGATCCCTCCCTACCTCTTCTAGCGTCTACTGGTTGCCGGGAATCCGCAGCTTATATGGTTTGTAAAGGCATCACTTCAATCTGCCTCCACCATCCGTGCCATCCTCCCTACATCTGTCTCTCTGGGTGCAAATTTCGCTCTTTCCCTAAGGACATCAATCACTGGACTCAAGCTCTCCCTAATCCCGAATGGCCTCATTTCTCATTTGAACTCAATTCCATCTGCAAATACCTTGTTTCCACATAAGCTCACACTCACAGGTTCCGAAGACCTGAATTTTGGGAGGGACCCTATTGAACCCAAAGTAAAGTAAAGTAAAAAAAAAAAAAAGTAAGTAAAGTGAAGTCACTCAGTCTGTCTGACTCTTTGCGTCCCCATGGACTGTAGCTTACCAGGCTCCTCCATCCATGGGATTTTCCAGGCAAGAGTACTGGAGTGGGTTGCCACTTCCTTCTCCAGAGGATTTTCCCAACCCAGGGATTGAACCCAGGTCTCCCACATTGTAGGCAGACGCTTTACCATCTGAGCCACCAGGGAAGTCCCACTGAACCCAAGATAAGGACAAATACCCAAGAGACACAGTTATGGACCCAAAGGTTTATTCACCGATAGAACTAATACAGAAGCCCCAATACCCTCTTGCCTCAGTTGGTGGTTAAGAATCAGAAACCATTGAGACTGAGGAGGTACCAAAATCTCAGGACCTAAAAACAACACAAAAAATTGTTCTGCCACGTGGCTCCTTTTCCCTGGAGTCAGTGCTCTAGAGCATCTGTTCCTGTCACCACTAGGCCCTCCTACTCTCTGTTATTTCAGAACTTTCACATCATCTTGGACCCTGACATTGGATGTGATGAAACCTCTTGACTGTTCTTCAAAGATCATACTATACAGTAAGACAGGGTCTTTGGCCAACTTTAGTGACCCCTATCCAAAAATCACTGTTCTGGGCAGACAGTAACTCAGCTCCTGCTAACTCCCAGACCACTCTGAATATTAAGCCTTACTAACTGGACACAGTGAATTCCAAAGTTTATAATTCTATCACTGAAACATAGTGCTTATTATGCAGTCTTAAAAATAAACTGTGCTCATGAATGATTCTACTTGGAGTTAAGACCACAATTCTTCATTTTCAGTATCTGAGACTTCTAGTTTGCAAACAGGACCGTGTTTAGAAATCCTGTAGCTTGTTTCTCTCTAATCTACGTTCAGCAGCAGCTGATTTCTTCCTAAGTACTTTCCGAGTCATGTCTCCCTGTTTCCTTGGGGCCCTGGCTGGGCAGGGCCACACATCAATTACAGGAGGACTTTGGAGCAGTGCAGCTTCCAAGGTGCACCCAGGTCACTGCTGGCACTTATTTAAAAAAAAAAAAAAGTTTTTTTAATTTTCTTCCTGCTGTTGACTCAAGACAGGAGTTGGGTTTTGAGGCCAGGAAGCTGGGAAGGTGGAAACTCACAGGGAGCCTCAGAGTACTTTTCCTAGCCCAGGGCAAAAGCAGCAAAACCCACAGGAGACTAGAAAGCCAATCGAGTGGGTCCAGGCCACGACGCCCCCCTGCAGAAGCTCACCCGCCCCGCGGGGGCAGCCGCCCGGCCACTTTCCGCGTCCCACCGACTCCTCGCGGCTCCAGGAGAGAGGTCTCTCCTACGTGCAGCCCCGGCGGCCGAAGAGTTTCCGCAGAAGTCAGCCTGCCGGTCTCAGGACAGACACCCTCCCCTCTGGCCCCGCGCCTACGTGCAGCCACGGCCACCTCCCAGACCCCACGGTCCGCGCCCCCGGACGCCCTGGGCAGTCCCCCCCGCCCCCGGAGCCCTGATCGCCTCTTCGCAGCCCCGATTCCTCTCGCAGCCCCCGGGGAGCCGACGCGCGCCCTGACCTCTGACCCCTGACCCCGACCGGGGCCCCGTCACACCCACCTGCCCGGGACCTTGCTGCTGCCGCGCTTCCAGAACTGCTTCCTGGCCCCGTCGCTGGCCATGGCCCCTCCTCATCGCTCAGACCCACGGCCCCGACACACAAAGGGCGGCCAGCCCTCTGCGGCGGCCCCTTCCTGTACCCCGTTTGGCTCCCCCCTCGGCGGTCCCCGGGGTTCCCCGAAAAAGTAGAACCGAGAGCCTCTTCCACCTCCCTCCGGAAGTTTGTGCCTCCGCACGCCCGGAAGTCCCGCCCCCGTCCCCGGAGAGCGTGACGCACGACGCGGGCGCCCGACGTCACTACAAGGCGCCTCCGGGGGGCGGTGCTCTGGAGACACTGGGGTTGGGGTGCTTGTTAGTCACCACATCTAGAGGCCCCGGGTTCTTCTCCTGAGAGTCCCGCCGGGCGGTGGTCCTCACCAGAGGGCGAGACAACGCGGGGACCGAAGGCATCCGTCCGCGGGGGTGGTCGAGGGTGTGAATGTCGCGCGCACTTGAGGGGGCCCGGTAACACCCGGTGGGTGACTAACTCCTGCAGTCATGGCAGGTGGGCGAGAGTCATGGCGAGGGGGACGGGTTTTGTGAGGGTCAGTGGGGGTGGGGCCGGAGCGAGTGAGGGACTGGGGGGCTGGAGGGGCTGGGCGCGGAGGAGGAGGGGTGGGGGTTGGGCCAGGCTTCCCTAGTAAGAGGTGCCCCTGAGGCAGGAAAATGCCCCACCTCAGCGCTGACCACGGGCAGGTGAAAGACACTCTGGTTTCAGAGACTCAGTTCAGTTCAGTCGCCTCCGACTCTTTGCGACCCCGTGGACCGCACCACGCCAGGCCTCCCTGTCCATCACCAACTCCCGGGGCATGCTCAAACTCATGTCCGTTGAGTTGGTGATGCCATCCAACCGTCTCATCCTCTTTCGTCCCCTTCTCCTCCTGCCTTCAGTCTTTCCCAGCATCAGGGTCTTTTCAGATGAGTCAGTTCTTCGCATCAGGTGGCCAAAGTATTGGAGTTTCCGCTTCAGCATCAGTCCTTCCAATGAGTATTCAGGACTTAGTACAAAAGAAGGAATGAAGATATTAATGTTTATGTTGGTTACACGTTAAAGTAATGTTTTTTTTGCGTGTATCGGATTCAATAAAATGTATTGCTGAAATTACTTTCACATTCCTTTTTCCTTTTTTTTTCAAACGTGGCCATCAGAGCATTTGAAATCACCTGTGTGGTTTGCGTTGTATCTCTGTCGGCCTGTAGACCTAGCCTGAGAGGTCAAGGACTGGTATTTCTGACTGGAGCTACGGCATGGCTTTGGGGAGCCCCTTGGCAGACCTCTGCCAGTTCTTGATTAGGTTCTCTGATTGACCTTTTCCTTGCTTACTGATAAGTAACCTTTATTTAGTACTTGCTGTGTGGAGGGCATTGTTAGGTACTATATGTGTATTATCTCAATCATATGACAACCAGTGCCTCAGGAAAGGCCACCCCGGCCGGCAGAGCAGAGTGGCCTTCTCAGATCCCTTGTGACAGCCGAGTTTCCTCTCCTGTCTTGCAGTAGCAAGGCTTCCCACTGCCCTTGTCCCCACCCTGCAAGTTTTCCGGGTACATGCTGATTCTATGTCCCTTCACACAGAGCCTGTAAGGTCCTGCCAGTTTTCTGCTGTTAGAGCTAAGCGGTGAAAAGTGAGAGTGAAGTCGCTCAGTCGTGTCCGACTCTTTGCGACCCCGTGGACTGGTAACCTACCAGGCTCCTCCATCCATGGGATTCTCCAAACAAGAATACTGGAGTGGGTTGCCATTTCCTTCTCCAGAGGATCTTGCCGACCCAGGGATCGAACCCAGGTCTCCTGCATTGCAGGCAGACGCTTTAACCTCTGAGACACCAGGGAAGCCCTAGAGCTAAGTAGTAAGGCCTCTCTAAACGTTTGTTAAAGGGATGACAACCATGCGAACTCTCCAGGGACCCCCTCCTGTCACAGCCATAGCATCTCCCTGAGGCAGTGCTGCTGACGACATCAACAGACCCTCAGGGCACCTCTGCTGCAGAGCCTTGGGAACGCCCACCCCCCCCCCCCGCCCCCGCCGCCCCCGTCTTGGGCGTGCATGGCCTCTGCTAATCTCCAGAGAGCTCCTGATAAGGCCTCTGTGGATGCGGAGGGACCCCCTCCTGGACAAAGTCCCCTGGGACCCTCGCCTAGCAGGGCTCAGGAAAGCCCCAGGGATCTCTTCCAGCCCCAGAGCCTCCCCAGAGATCTTTCTCAGAGCTCAGCTCCTTGTCAGGATCCCCTACCGACGGGATTTTCCCCAACTCAGTATAGCTTATTGCACAAATCAATGATCAAGGCCACAACAGAACCAAGATACTAGCGTTTAAAAAGGGAAACAGCAGTCAGCGACTGGTTGGGTATAACAGAACATTTTGGGTTTGGCCACTCATAACTTACCTCATACTTTCCTGTCTGCTACGTGTTAGAAGAGGAAAGTACAAGGAGAAACAGGCTGACTTGAAGGCTTCAGGACTGTCTGAGTTACCAGTGCCACCAGCAGAGACCTCAGGGCAGGCCAGGTTTATGGTTGGCTTAGGACACGTTGGGTTTGAGGTTGAGACCTGAGGCCTCAGCCAAGCAGTTGGTGAGAGGACCTGCTGATCTCCAGATGAGGAGACGGGGTTACCCAGGGGAGGATGGGCCAGGGTGAAGTCCCAGGACCAGTGGTCAGACGTAGATCAGCATCAAGAGCAGCATAATTGAAAACCGAAGTCAGGATAGAGGTAATCTCCAGAGATGGGTTCAGACGGGGGCCGTGGTAGCGATGGATGTGTGAGGAGTATCTGGAAGAAGACCCAATGGGGAAGGCGGAGGCGAGGAAGGGGACCCAGGCAGGCAGCACCCAGGACAGCTGCACGAGCGCAGAGTGAATGAGTGAGCTTTTGTTCGTCTCGGCAGCAAACCTAAGAGGCTTCCTCTCTCTGAGGTTTAGGCAGACATAAAGCTAAAGCCAGGGACATAGCATTTCACACTTAACAGATGGCAAAGTATTTAAAAATCTGTCAATGCCAAAATCAATGAGCATGTGGATTTATGAGCAGCACATAAATCAGAATACACTGATTCACTGCTGGTGGGCGCGCAGATTCATTCAATAATTCCGGACAGACATTTGGCAATTTCTAGTAGTTGCAGGTGCACATATCCTACAAGCCAGGTGTGTACCCTAGAGCGACTCACCTGTGTTCAAACGCAGGACTGTTCATTACAACATTGCTGCGGGGGAAAACTGATCAACTATACACAGTTATCCAAAGAATGCTCCATGATAGTAAAACTGAAAGATTACTTATAGCAACATAAATGGATCTCACAAGCAATGTTGAGGGGAAAAAAGTTGAAAATGCATGTGGTATGATACCACTTAATTGCCTTTTTTTTTTTCCTGCAAGTAAAACCATGCTAAAAGTGTAGTTGCCTGTGGGTGTTGGTGGGGACTTTGATCATTGAGGAATTTATAGAGCCTTCCTTGTTTTATGGGCTTCCCTTGTGGCTCAGCTGGTAAAGAATCTCCCTGCAATGTGTGAGACCTGGGTTTGATCCTAGGCTGGAAAGATCCCCTGGAGAAGGGAAAGGCTACCCCCTCCAATATTCTGGCCTAGGACTATACATGGGTCACAAACAGTCGGAAACGACTGAGCAACTTCTCACTTCACTAGGGCTTCCTAGGTGGCGCTAGTGGTAAAGATCCCACCTGCAATGCTGGAGACATAAGAAATATGGGTTTGATCCCTGGGTTGGGAAGATCCCCTGGAGAAGGAAATGGCAACCCACTCCAGTATTCTTGCCTGGAGAGTCCTATGGACAGAGGAGCCTGGTGGGCTACAGTCCCTGGGGTTGCAAAGAGTTGGACATGACTGAGCACGCAGTGTAACCCTGCTGACTTACAGCTGCCTCGTTTTATGCTTTGTTTCTTAAGGCAGGTGGACTATGTTTGGTTGCTTGTTTTATTCTTTATGACTTTTTGCATGTATAAATTGTTTCATAGAGCATAAAAATACAATGATGAATGTCTTACTCTGTCACGCACTGAGCCACCTCAAACGCTTTCTTGGAGAAGGCAAGTGTAAACAACACAGCAGTGAAGGAACGGCACTCACTGAGGCCTGGAGGAGTCGGGGCCATTGATAGATCTGTGGCTGCTCTCTCAGGCTGAGTAGGTGTGACGGGACAAGACACAGGAGCCTGGTAGATTCCAGGTCGAGGGAGCATCGTTGCTGAGGCCAGAGGAAGCTGGGTGCTGCACAACAGGTGGGGGTTGGGGGTAGCTAAGTCTGTGACGAAGGTTGGGTTCCCCAGCAAGCAAGTGGTGAGACATATTTGCATGCAGGTGGCTTGTTGGGGAGAAGTTGAACTGGGAGGAGCTGCAGTGGAGTCCTGGACCAACCCCAAAGGGTGGCCCCCGGAGATGTCTGAATTGAAGGAACAAGAGGAGGCTTGCTGAGAGGGGGCTGCCCCCAAATGCCTCCTGCCGAGGGCAGTTCCCGAGGAGGGTCTTAGCTCCCAGCCATCAGCAGCCATTCTGCCCCCGACGGAGGGAAGCGAGAGCCCGGGTCCTCGGGGAATCTGGGCATTGCGATGCTCTCGAGCCTGCCGCAGCTCGCCCTTTGCACCACTCAGATCTGCTAGCCTCACAGAAGTTCAGCATCTAGGAAGACGTCTCCAGGACTCCAGTTGGCCCCTTTTCTGGAAAAGCTTCCAAGAGGAAGATTGACGTGATCCTGAAGCCATAGCGGCCACTCGTCCTGTCCCTCCAAGTTACCTGCTATAGACTCCAGCCTCCCCCCAGAAGCACCTCTGCTGTTCTAGGTCAACCACCTGCTGGCGTGACCAACTCTCATCCTGGAGGCTTCATTCGGAGCCAAGGTGGCCAAGGGCACCCTTTCAGGCCATGGCTGTTCCATTTGCCCCCTTGCCGTTAAAGGCAGAGAGACACCCCAGGGGTCCCTGTAGGTGCCAAACGTGTCCTCACTGCCCCTGCCACACAGGAACATCCCTCCCTCCCCCAGTGGCCAGGGGGAGACCTGTTTCCT